CTGAAGGATGCCTATGATGAGCGCTGCACCCAGTGACTTCAATCTGCAAGGCTCCATAGGCTGTTTTTTCTGCTAATTCCTATGTTAGCCTTGCCTTTCACCAGACTACCTGCTTACCCTGCATCCCCAATCAATCTGTAAAACTGAAAAAAGAATTCAGCAAAGAAGTAGCTGGAGACAGAATTGGAAAACAAAAGGAACTCTAAAAAACTAGTTCTTCCACACCATTAACCCCTCAGCTGAATTGTAGCCAGTAAATCTAACTTGACATTAAAAGGCCCTTTTATTGTTATACAGCATAAACAATGTGAATAAACTCACAATTTACAGATAATTATTTAGCTTTGATTTCTAGAATGATATCAAACAAACCTGACTGCAGCTAGGACAGCCATTGGAATTCTAATTGCCTATTTAAATTTCAAGCTGTCAGACTAATAATTAGCTGAAGTACAGGTTAAAAGTAGTTCACCGTGCCTGAGGACTATCATCAATATTATATATTTAAACACAAATGAGCAAAACCTATTACTTCCTTATCCAGATAGGTGGTTAATTTGGCCCATCAATTCAAACTCTTTAATAAATCTTGTAAATGGTTACAAGTGCTTATCAAAAGAATAAAAAAAGTAAAAGTCAGCCAAACCTCTCTGGCTGTCAGAATGTACAAAACTGATAGTTTTTCTGGCATTATGTTTCTCGTAGTAATGAAACTTTGCACTTCATATACTTGCCTTGCAATGGTAATAATGACACAATGCAACATTTATTATAGAATAACAGCACTGGAAGGGGCTTATGAGGCCATCAAGCCTAACCCCCTGCTCAGTGCAGGAATCCAAATAGAAGCAGATCTGACAGATGGTTGTCCAATTTTCTCTTGAATGCTTCCCGGTTTGAGTGCTCACCACCTCCTGAGGTAACTGGTTCTATTATCATACTGCCCTAATGGTTAGGGTGTTTTTCCTGACATTCAACTGAAATCTAGCTTCCTGTATCTTGAGTCCATTGTTAGGTGTCCTGCACTCTGGGTTGACCCTCTGCAGAATCAAAAGTGTGTTGCTGATGCTTTGCAGAACAGAAGGGCTGGTAGGGGTCTTGCTGGCTAGCATTAGCCAGCAACACACATAGAGATCATTTGAAAAAGGGAACAGCGTTTTGACTGAAAAAGTGCAAAAATGGGACTGAAGCTGCAAATTGTGTGGATGGGCAAATTCACAGTAAATAGGTCAAGAGGCTAATTTCAAATGAAGATTCATAAAACAGCTGCAGCATAACTAGACTTACGTTAAGTGATAGTTTGAAAGAAAAAAGGCACAACATGAATAGGTTGGAAATGCTTTGACGACCTGGTCTTTTGGCTAAGTTTGCTGAGCAGATTAATTGTATGAGCTGTTATTCAAGACAGTAGATTGAGGGACACTCCAGATCTTTTTGACCTTCTTTTCAATCTTTGGGGGTTTGTTTTTCCTGGTTAATATGGGTGCAGAGCAAAGCTGATGAAGCAATATTTAAGGCTACAGTTGTTTTGCACATGTACAAGGGCATATCCACTGGCTGTTGGAGCACACCAAAGATTTCAGAAGATCAATCTATGATTTATATACAACAGCAAAACCTTTGGTTGTGTGGATTATGAGTAACTATGGGTTGTTCTCAAAGAAAGGGGTGTGTCTCAGCACCTGATTGTCCTGGTGTGTAACTTGTATTGTGGACAAGAAGCTATGTTAGGACTAGAGATGGGATATTCCTATTTGTGAATAAATACGTATATCCTGGGGCCCAGGTGGCCAGGATCCCCAATCCTGCCTCCCTGAACCTACCCCTCCACTTACGTGTCGCCACGCAGAGCACACAGCTGGCATCCTGCTTACCGGGCTAATCTCCAATGAAGCCGTTGAGTGGGGAGACTCGTCTTCCCCTTCCCCTGGCTGGAGTGGTCAGAAGAGCAGGAAGGCAGGGAAGCGGCCGTCAGGCTTCATCCAGCATTGACCCAACAAGCAGGACGCTCACCGCGCAGGTGCCTGGCGATCCAAAAGTGGACGGGTCTGTTTGGGGAGACGGGACTGGGAATCCCAGCCATCTGGCCCAGTGTAGTCATATTTGTTCATGAATAGAGTGACTGAATGGTTTCCTATAGGCAAAGGTGTCAGAGAAGGATGCATTTCATCCTCTTATCTGTTCAATCTATAGGCAGAACATATCCTACAGAAAGCCAGACTAGATTGAGATGAAGGAGGAGTGAAAACTGGTGAAAGAAACCTTAATCATTTAAGATACGCCAACGACATCTTCTTACTGGCAGAAAACAGAAATGATGTGAAACAGCTTTTAGGGAATGTGAAAAAAGAAAGTGCCAAAGCTGAACCGTAGTTGAACAGAATGACAGAGGAACTACACAACTCTAATGTTGACAATGAAGAAACAGTGGAATAGTGAAAGATTTCGTATACCTTGGTTCAATTATTAATTGAAATGGAGACCACAGCCAAGAAATCAGAAGAAGCCTGAGACTCAGAAGGGCAACAGTGAGGGAATTAGAACAGATCATCAAGTAGAAGGATGTGTCACTGGAAACCAAGACCAAGATGATCCACACTCTTACTGTGTATTTTCAATCACCATGTATGGATATGAAAGTCGGACAGTAAAGTAAGCTGACAAAATAAAATTGACTTGTTTGAAAAGTGGTGCTGCAGGAGAGTTTTGCAGCTATCCTAGACTGCCAGAAAGATGAACAAATGGGCCCTAGAGCAAATCAAGCCTGAACCATCTCTGGAGGTTAAAATGATGAAATTGAAGCTGGCCTAACCTGGGCATATCATGAAAGGGCAAGATTATCTGAAAAAGACAATAATGTTGGGAAAGATTGAAGGTGGCAGGAAAAGAGGAAGACCAAATAAGAAATGGATCAACTCCCTAATGGAACCCACAGCCTTAAATTTACAAGAGCTGAGCAGGGCTTTTGAGGACAGACCATTTTTGCAGCTCTCTCATCCATAAGGTCGCCATAAGATGGAAGCAACTTGACGGCATTTAACAACAGCAACAATGGAATAAGTCTTATTAAAGTCAGTGGGAGATGCTTTTTAACAGATAGGCCTCTCTCTCTGTCTCTCTTTCTCTCTCTCTCATTTATACCTCACTTTCCTTCCACCAATGAGAGTAAAGGTGTCCAGGTATTCTACCTTCCTGTATATTAACAATTCTCAAACTCTGCTCCATATGTAACCAAAACGGTACCCTGCATGCATGACAGCAGACTTCAGAAAACAGCCAGTTTTTGAGGTATAACAATTATTTGGGGAGGGATGTTTCATGCAGGCGCTGGATGGGAAGTTATGTCCCACGCAATCCATAAATATATTCCTGTAAAGCTTTCACCTCTGCCAAGACAAAGCTTAAATTACTAATTGGTCAACTAGTGAAACTTTTTAATTAGTTGGTTTCATATATGGCAGGGGAAGGGGAGAGTTGAAGAAAGAGAGAATTAAAATGCAATGTTCTTAGTATTTTTATATAAGAACCTGTAGTCTTTTAAATATGAAATAATTTAAAGAACAGAAACTAACATTCATTCTCAGAATGAAAGACCATCTGACGATAGTCAGAAAGGTCTTTTTCTGAGCTGCCTCAGTTAAAAACAACAATGTTAAAAAGCAATTAAACTCAATGTTTAATTTGCTGTTTTTAATGGGCTTTGTGTTGTTTCCCCTAGGGATTTTTACAGCATAAAATTAAGGAAGCATGTTTTTAGGAAGAATGTAAACTGAATGCCAATAAACCAATCCATAGGTTTCATGAATGCTCATGCAAGCATATTAAACAGTAAGACACTGTTTTATGCCTCAAATAAATCTCATACTTACTAAATGAGTATCTTTTCCCTCTTATTGTTTGCAACACTTCAATGAAAAAAAATACTCTAAACATATTAAAAATCAGTACAGTCAAGGAACTAAAACTTTGTATTAAAGGAAAGTTGCATAATACTTGTAGAGCAATGGTTCTCAATCTTGGGTCCCCAGATGTTCTTGGATTAAAACTCCCAGAATCCTTCACCATCAGCTGTGCTGGCCAGTATTTCTGGAAGTTGCAGGCCAAGAACATCTGGGGACCCAAGGTTGGAAAATACTGTTGTAGAGTAACACATACAAAGATGAAATAAATCCTTGGTGGGAATGGAGTTTACATGAACAGAAGCTTGAATGTTTGCATCCACGACACTCTTGTTATTGGCTGTCATGTTACTTCTACTGTATGATGACTCTACGAATTAGTGTCCTCCAAATGGTCCTTTCAGCTCTGCTGGTGTATTGAAAATTCAAGGCCACAGCTTTGTTTACTGAATCCACAAGTACCAAGAACACTGCTGCTAATGATGCAACTGGGGCAAAGCCAAAAGGATGCCTAGTTGCTGAAGTGAAGAAAGGGAGAAGGAAAGTCTTGATGCTGTATGAAATGTATAGTTGGAACACAGAATGTGGAAACCGCAAATTAAGATAATGTAAAAATCTGTAGAGCAAGAAACTGAACTTTAAAAATGGCAGTACTTGGTGGGAGCAAACTAGGGTGGACTGGAACAGGACATCCTCAGTCAGACAATTACAAAGTATTTTATTCTAGATAGAAAGTATAAAACAAGAATTGTGTGGATTTAATAATGAAGCAAGATATAGCACAAGAAGCTATGGGGCTGTAAAGTCTAACTAAATAGTATCAACCTGACGCCTTGGGAAACCAAGCAAAATAACTATCATTTAAGTCTATGCTCCAACTGCAGATGATGAAGAAGAAGAAATAGGGAGCTTTTAAGCAAGCAACCTGGGAGATTCCATGTTAGCTGACAATCTGTGATACAGGACATTCATTCCACTGGTTCATATTGACATGCATCAAGAAAATCTGCATGTTAAAAAATTATAGCTTGAATTGTTGAAAGGGAGTCTAAGATGTTCAACAGAACAAAAGATAGGAATGGTAGAACTAAAACTATTTACCTTGTTCGTGAATGGAAAGTTGCTTTGTTCCACTTTGCCTGGTGTATGAATAGCAGACAGTGGGGGAGGCCAAGTATGGGTCATTTCCTTGAAGAAAGGAGAAAAATTTCAAAGCATTTCAAAATAATGATGTCATACTAGTGTTAATACTTGTTAGAATAGTTACAAGCATGGATTCTAAATGAAGAAATTCCTTTTGAAACTTTAATCTTGGTTGTTTTAGTGGACCAACATGGCTACCCCTATAAAAACTGAACACATTTCTAATAACTATTTTGTAAATTAGAAGTATAATTTATTCTAATGTCTACAATATTACCTGGTTATAAGCCAGATAATAAATTGCTTTCTATTCACAATGATTATTGAGAACATAACGTTAACAGGTCATTGTAACTCATCTCATGCTTCTGTCTTATGTCTCTTACATTAGGACGACAACATCTGTTTCCCCTAAAACTCCTTTCTGGGCAAACCTATAATCCTATCAGCTGGCCTCACTCCTCAAGTGCATGGCATATGGCACTGCAATGTGTTTTAGGTAACCCAGTTACCTTTTAACCCAAGGGCCCTGTCAAACTTACTTAACGGGTCATCCAGATAAAAATACAGACCAACCCTTCCTGCAGACAAAATCGATTGACAGATAGGTAGGTCTCTTGCTATCTTAATACAGGACGTACTGCCACCAGGACTTAACTACCACATTTATCCATCTGTACTGCTCTTACACCAATTTTGCTTTCTACCGTATTTTGCAAGTTGCAGCTCCCATCCCATCTTTCTTTCCTATCTCCCTCTTCTTGTTGTTATAGGGTTACAAAAGTGGGAAAAACTTCAATCAAAGCATAAATGCTTTTTTAAACCCCCCCCTCTCTCTCCTTCCTTCCTTCCTTCCTTCCTTCCTTCCTTCCTTCCTTCCTTCCTTCCTT